GAAGTAAGAATATACAAGAAGAGTAGAAGTATACAAGAAGAGAAGTATACAAGAAGAAGTAGAAGTATACAAGAAGAAGTAGAAGTATACAAGAAGAAGTAGAAGTATACAAGAAGAAAGAGCAGAAGTAGAAGTATACAAGAAGAAGTAGAAGTATACAAGAAGAAGTAGAAGTATACAAGAAGAAGTAGAAGTAGAAGTTAGAAGACATATCTGGGAAACTAGAAGTATAGAAGAAGTAGAAGTTAAAAGTATAGAAGTAGAAGTTAGAAGTATAGAATTTAGAAGAATTTAAAAGTATGCAAGAAGAAGTTAGAAGTATACAAAAAGTTAAAAGAAGTTAGACGTATAGGGGAAACTAGAAGTATAGAATAAGTTAGAAGTATAGAAGTTAAAAGTATAGAAGTAGAATTAGAAGTATTCAAGAAGTTAGACATATAGAAGTCAAAAGTATAGATGAAGTTAAAAGAAGTTAGAAGTACAGAAGTAGAAGTATAGAAGAAGTAGAAATGTAGAAGAAGTTAAAAGTACAGAAGTTAGAAGTACAGTAGAATTAGAAGTATACAAAAAGAAGTTAGACGTAGATGTCACAAGTACAGAAGAAGTTAAAAGTACAGAAGTAGAAGAACTTAGAAGTATAGAAGAAGTAGAAATATAGAAGTTAAAAGTGTAGAAGTTAGAAGTTAAAAGAAGTTAGAAGTACAGAAGTAGAAGTATAGAAGTTAGAAGTATAAAAGACATAGAAGTATAGAAGAAGTTAGAAGTATAGAAGATGAATTAGAAGTACAGGAAAAGTTAGAAGTTAGAATAAATTAGAAGAAGTAGAAGTACAGACAAAATTAGAAGTATATAAAAAGAAGTCAGAAGTACAGAAGAATTTGGAAGTAAACAAAAAGAAGTCAGAAGTTTAGAAGTTCCAGTGCCAGGTCTTTTTAAAACTTGGACTTTCGGACGCTCCTGAAAACGGCGCGGCCTCTGAACAGCGCCCCCCTCGTAGGGAGTAGTGTAGACTTTCAGACACAGCCCCCCTCCACAGGATCCCGCGGTTTTTATTTCATAGTTTTTTTTTTTTTTTTTCTGTAAATAAATTTGTAAAACTGAACTCGGCTCTAAACTCGCTCCTGTAACCCGCCGACCTCCATGAGCTTCGTTTGACTGGAGCTGAACACTGTGGGCGACGTCACACTCGGTCAGGACACGTTTTTTACACACTTCATGATGGAGTTGGTTGAGTTTAATGCCGTACTGTGGAACATTGAAGCCGCGTCTCCGTGGCGACGAGGCTGCCGAAAGCTGAGAAAAGTTCCGGAGTGGAGCTTTAAAGGCGCGTCGCTCTCGGAACGTTCAGGCTGAAGTGTGGAAGAATCCGCGGCATCCGGGGAATGTCCGGACACGCCTGCCGCCGCGTTTCCACGGCGACGCGGCGGCAGGTGCAGAGGGATTCATGCCCCTGTCAATAATAGTGTTCAAGAGAGAGACAACAGCTCTACTCCTCCTCTTCCTCTTCTGTCTTCTCCTCTTCCTCCTCCTCTCCTCATTCTCCTCTTTTCGTTCTTCTCTTCTCCTCTTCCTCCTCCTCTCCTCATTCTCCTCTTTTCGTTCTTCTCTTCTCCTCTTCCTCCTCCTCTCCTCATTCTCCTCTTTTCGTTCTTCTCTTCTCCTCTTCCTCCTCCTCTCCTCATTCTCCTCTTTTCGTTCTTCTCTTCTCCTCTTCCTCCTCTTCTCCTCCTCTCCTCATTCTCCTCTTTTCATTCTTCTCTCCTCTTCTCCTCCTCCTCTTCTCTTCCTCTCACTCTTCTCCTTCTCTTCCTCCGCTCTCATCCCCCTCCTCTTCTTCCTTCTCCTCTTCTTTTCCTCTCCCCCTCCTCCTTCGCTTCTCCTCCCTCTCCTCTTCCTCTAGGTCCTTCTCTTCTTCCTCTCCTCTTCTTCTCCTCCTTCTCTTCTCCTTGTCTTTTTCTCCTCTTTTTTCTCCATCTCTTCCCCCTCCTCCTCTTCTCCTCATCCTCTTCTCCTTCTCTCTTCTCTGCCTCTTCCTTCTCTTCTCTTTCTCCTCCTCCTCTTCTTTTTCTTCTACTTCCTCTTTTTCTCTCCTCTTTCTTTTTTTCTCCTTCTTCTTCTCTTTCTCCTCCTTCGAATCATCCATTTTTTTTTTTTTTGTTTTAGAACCAAATAATGAAGAAAATCATTTTTTCGTTTTCTTATTTTTGGTTTTATTTTGAAAAACGAACGACACATGGATCAAGAGAACTTGTCGAGTAAAATGATCTCGACAGATCGTTTCACACTTTTCAGATTTAGATGTTTATATTTCACATTTTGCCAGAGTCTTGTAGATGTTGTTTCTTCATGTTCTTGTAGATGTTTCTTCATGTTCTTGTAGTTGTTTCTTCATGTTCTTGTGGATGTTGTTTCTTCATGTTCTTGTGGATGTTGTTTCTTCATGTTCTTGTGGATGTTGTTTCTTCATGTTCTTGTGGATGTTTTGTTTTGTGTTTTCCAGAGGGTGGTTCCGGAGCGTTGGCCGCGGTTCTCTCCACGATCGGGGTGGCGGCGGTGGGAGCGGTCACTGGGTATTTCACCTACCAGAAGAAGAAACTCTGCTTCAAAAACAGAGGTACACACCACAAAACGTTTCAGCACGACCATTGTTGGAGAATTACGGCTGCTGTAGTCAGGAACCTCGCGAAGTAAAGGGCGAAGTTTAGTTCCGCGTCGACATTTAAGAAATCAAAAAAGCTCTACAGAGAATATTTGTCCGTTCATAAATACAGTCTGTGTGTGACCTGCAGATTTAGGTTATATTTACACTGAAACGTATCAACGTATCAGAAACGATTTGTGTCCAGACACGTCGTTTCTGTGTCCACGAGTCTCTGTCCACACAGACTTGAGCACATTTGTTTACGTTTTACAGAAACTAAACTTAAAACCACATGACTCATTTGCATAAACAGTTGTTTCTTGTGTCTGATGTGGTTCAGTTTGTGTTGGACTAAAGGACACAGTGACTCAGTGGAATATGAGTGTTCTCCCTGTGACAGAGGGGTGTTCTCTCTGTGACAGAGGGGTGTTCTCTCTGTGACAGAGGGGTGTTTCTCTCTCTGTGTCAGAGGGGTGTTCTCTCTGTGTGTGTCAGAGGGGTGTTTCTCTCTGTGTCAGAGGGGTGTTCTCTCTCTGTGTCAGAGGGGTGTTCTCTCTGTGACAGAGGGGTGTTCTCTCTGTGACAGAGGGTGTTCTCTCTCTGTGTCAGAGGGGTGTTCTCTCTCTGTGTCAGAGGGGTGTTTCTCTCTGTGACAGAGGGTGTTCTCTCTGTGACAGAGGGGTGTTCTCTCTGTGTCAGAGGGGTGTTCTCTCTGTGACAGAGGGGTGTTCTCTCTGTGACAGAGGGGTGTTCTCTCTCTGTGTGACAGAGGGGTGTTCTCTCTGTGACAGAGGGGTGTTCTCTCTGTGTCAGAGGGGTGTTCTCTCTGTGACAGAGGGGTGTTCTCTCTGTGACAGAGGGGTGTTCTCTCTGTGTCAGAGGGGTGTTCTCTCTGTGTCAGAGGGGTGTTCTCTCTGTGACAGAGGGGTGTTCTCTCTTGTGACAGAGGGGTGTTCTCTCTGTGACAGAGGGGTGTTCTCTCTGTGTCAGAGGGGTGTTCTCTCTGTGTCAGAGGGGTGTTCTCTCTGTGTGACAGAGGGGTGTTCTCTCTGTGTGACAGAGGGGTGTTCTCTCTGTGTGTCAGAGGGGTGTTCTCTCTGTGACAGAGGGGTGTTCTCTCTGTGACAGAGGGGTGTTGTTTCTCTGTGTCAGAGGGGTGTTCTCTCTGTGTCAGAGGGGTGTTCTCTCTGTGACAGAGGGGTGTTCTCTCTGTGACAGAGGGGTGTTCTCTCTGTGTCACAGAGGGGTGTTCTCTCTGCGACAGAGGGGTGTTTCTCTCTGTGACAGAGGGGTGTTCTCTCTGTGACAGAGGGGTGTTCTCTCTGTGACAGAGGGGTGTTCTCTCTGTGACAGAGGGGTGTTCTCTCTGTGTCAGAGGGGTGTTCTCTCTGTGTCAGAGGGGTGTTCTCTCTGTGTCAGAGGGGTGTTCTCTCTGTGTGACAGAGGGGTGTTCTCTCTGTGTGACAGAGGGGTGTTCTCTCTCTGTGACAGAGGGGTGTTCTCTCTGTGTCAGAGGGGTGTTCTCTCTGTGACAGAGGGTGTTCTCTCTGTGACAGAGGGGTGTTTCTCTCTGTGACAGAGGGGTGTTCTCTCTGTGTCAGAGGGGTGTTCTCTCTGTGACAGAGGGGTGTTCTCTCTGTGTCAGAGGGGTGTTCTCTCTGTGTGTGTCTCTCTGTGAGAGGGGTGTTCTCTCTGTGTCAGAGGGGTGTTCTCTCTGTGTGACAGAGGGGTGTTCTCTCTGTGTGACAGAGGGGTGTTCTCTCTGTGACAGAGGGGTGTTCTCTCTGTGTCAGAGGGGTGTTCTCTCTGTGACAGAGGGGTGTTCTCTCTGTGTGTCAGAGGGGTGTTCTCTCTCTGTGACAGAGGGGTGTTCTCTCTGTGTGACAGAGGGGTGTTCTCTCTGTGTGACAGAGGGGTGTTCTCTCTGTGACAGAGGGGTGTTCTCTCTGTGTCAGAGGGGTGTTCTCTCTGTGACAGAGGGGTGTTCTCTCTCTGTGTCAGAGGGGTGTTCTCTCTGTGTGACAGAGGGGTGTTCTCTCTGTGTGACAGAGGGGTGTTCTCTCTGTGACAGAGGGGTGTTCTCTCTGTGACAGAGGGGTGTTCTCTCTGTGTGTCAGAGGGGTGTTCTCTCTGTGTGTCAGAGGGGTGTTCTCTCTGTGACAGAGGGGTGTTCTCTCTGTGACAGAGGGGTGTTCTCTCTGTGACAGAGGGGTGTTCTCTCTGTGACAGAGGGGTGTTCTCTCTGTGTGTCAGAGGGGTGTTCTCTCTGTGTCAGAGGGGTGTTCTCTCTGTGACAGAGGGGTGTTCTCTCTGTGACAGAGGGGTGTTCTCTCTGTGTCAGAGGGGTGTTCTCTCTGTGTCAGAGGGTGTTCTCTCTGTGTGACAGAGGGGTGTGTTCTCTCTGTGACAGAGGGGTGTTCTCTCTGTGTCAGAGGGGTGTTCTCTCTGTGACAGAGGGGTGTTCTCTCTGTGTCAGAGGGGTGTTCTCTCTGTGTCAGAGGGGTGTTCTCTCTGTGTGACAGAGGGGTGTTCTCTCTGTGTGACAGAGGGGTGTTCTCTCTGTGACAGAGGGGTGTTCTCTCTGTGACAGAGGGGTGTTCTCTCTCTGTGACAGAGGGGTGTTCTCTCTGTGTCAGAGGGGTGTTCTCTCTGTGTCAGAGGGGTGTTCTCTCTCTGTGACAGAGGGGTGTTCTCTCTGTGTGACAGAGGGGTGTTCTCTCTGTGTCAGAGGGGTGTTCTCTCTGTGACAGAGGGGTGTTCTCTCTGTGTGACAGAGGGGTGTTCTCTCTGTGTGACAGAGGGGTGTTCTCTCTGTGTGTCAGAGGGGTGTTCTCTCTGTGTCTCTCTGTGTGACAGAGGGGTGTTCTCTCTGTGACAGAGGGGTGTTCTCTCTGTGACAGAGGGGTGTTTCTCTCTGTGTGTCAGAGGGGTGTTCTCCTGTGACAGAGGGGTGTTCTCTCTGTGTGTCAGAGGGGTGTTCTCTCTGTGTCAGAGGGGTGTTCTCTCTGTGACAGAGGGGTGTTCTCTCTGTGTCAGAGGGGTGTTCTCTCTGTGACAGAGGGGTGTTCTCTCTGTGTGACAGAGGGGTGTTCTCTCTGTGACAGAGGGGTGTTCTCTCTGTGTGACAGAGGGGTGTTCTCTCTGTGTGACAGAGGGGTGTTCTCTCTGTGTGTCAGAGGGGTGTTCTCTCTGTGACAGAGGGGTGTTCTCTCTGTGACAGAGGGTGTTCTCTCTGACAGAGGGGTGTGTCTCTCTGTGACAGAGGGGTGTTCTCTCTGTGTCAGAGGGTGTTCTCTCTGTGACAGAGGGGTGTTCTCTCTGTGTCAGAGGGGTTTCTCTCTGTGTGACAGAGGGGTGTTCTCTCTGTGACAGAGGGGTGTTCTCTCTGTGACAGAGGGGTGTTCTCTCTGTTCTCTCTGTGACAGAGGGGTGTTCTCTCTGTGTCAGAGGGGTGTTCTCTCTGTGACAGAGGGGTGTTCTCTCTGTGACAGAGGGGTGTTCTCTCTGTGTCAGAGGGGTGTTCTCTCTCTGTGACAGAGGGGTGTTCTCTCTGTGACAGAGGGGTGTTCTCTCTGTGTCAGAGGGGTGTTCTCTCTGTGACAGAGGGGTGTTCTCTCTCTGTGTCAGAGGGGTGTTCTCTCTGTGTGACAGAGGGGTGTTCTCTCTGTGTGACAGAGGGGTGTTCTCTCTGTGTGTCAGAGGGTGTTCTCTCTGTGTCAGAGGGTGTTTCTCTCTGTGTGACAGAGGTGTTCTCTCTGTGTGTCAGAGGGGTGTTCTCTCTGTGTGACAGAGGGGTGTTCTCTCTCTGTGACAGAGGGGTGTTCTCTCTGTGTGTCAGAGGGGTGTTCTCTCTGTGTGTCAGAGGGGTGTTCTCTCTGTGTGACAGAGGGGTGTTCTCTCTGTGTGTCAGAGGGGTGTTCTCTCTGTGTCAGAGGGGTGTTCTCTCTGTGACAGAGGGGTGTTCTGCTGATGCTCAGTCTGTTCTGTGTTTCTGTCGTGTTGTTGGTTCATGTGAAACTTTTCACACATTATACGTGTGCAGGTGGTGCACACAGACACACGTTTATGTGAATGGACACATATTGTGTGTCTTAGTGTTTTGTGGTGAATGACTCGGCGGTGACAGACACACATCAGAGTATCAGAGTTTTCAGGAGTCCCACAGTCCCCGTCACATCTGGACCAACATGAACTCGAGGAGCTGGAGGCACCAGATCGTTCAGACTCTGGAGTCGTTTTCACTCAGATTAATGTGAACAAACACTGTACACACAACAACACCACTCACATACACACTAGTGTGAACAGGGCTTTAGTCCAACAGAAGCTGACAAAGCGCACAAAGAATGAGCAGTTGTTTTTTTTTCAGAGCTTATAGTTTATATAAATGAGTCATGTGGTTTTAAATTTAATTTCTGTAAAACATAAACAAATGTGTCAAAGCTGAATTAAACACTTTATTGTTCAGTGTATATTTGAGTCGTCCTCATAGGAAATAAAAAAATAAATGATCCACCCATGTCCACCAAGACAGAGAGACGACGCTGGGCGAATTACACCACGATCTGCTGATGGATCGTGGACGCCTGGACTAAGGATCGGCCTCAAGTGTCGTCCGTTTGTTTCACTTAATGCAAGTTATAATCAACATTATTGGTATTGGGCCTTATAATCTGAAAAATACAGTAGTTTTGTTCGTTCCCGGTCCTGCAGCTCTCACGTTGGCGTTGACGTAGTGGCGTTCGTGCTGAGTGGGCAGGTGTTGGGGACAGTGTGTGGAGTCAGCAGCCCTCATGAGCTCAGCGTTTTAAAACAACACAACCTGCTCACGACTCCGCGCTCCGTTTACTCCGGGCGGTGTGAACGTTCGTCAGAAGTTCGTATCGTGTTCTCAGATTAGGAGTCGTGCTAATTTTGCCAAACCAAACCCCGGTGGAGTCTGAGGGAAAAAAACTCATGATCTGGAACAGTCGAGTTCAGGAGGTTTTGGTCTGTGTCTTTTCACGTCCGTCTCTTTCTCTCCTTCTCTCTCTCTGGACTCTCCCTCACTCTTTCTCTCACCCTCTGACACTCCTCTCTCTATGCCTCACCCCCCTCTCTCTCTCTTTCTCTCTTTTCCCCTCTGACACTCGTCTCTCTCTGTGGTCTCACCCTCTTTCTCTCCCTTCTCCCTCTCTCTATTGGTCTCTCTCTTTCTCTTTCTCTCTCTTGGGTCTTTCTCCCTCTTTTGTTCCTTTTCTTCATGTCTCATCCTTTTCTTTTCTTTCTCTGTGTGTTTGTAGAAGCAGATGCTGAGGCGGGTCGTAAAGCCGACGTCGCAGAGGCCAAGTCTGATCCTCAAGGTACAAACACACACATACACACACACACATATACACACACACATATACACATATATACATATATATACATGTACACACACCGACACACACACACACACACACACACATACACACAAACATATACACATATATACATGTACACACACACATAAACACACACACACACATATACATATATATATATATATATATATATATATATATATATATATATATATATATATACATACACACATACACACACATACACACACACAATATATGCAGGCACATACACACATGTATATACATTTACACATACACGCACACACACACAAGCACATATTCTGTACATGTACATATACATACACACATACTGTACACACACACACATACATACATACATATATATACACACACACACACAGTTGCTTTGTCGTGTTCTCTCTTCTCACACTCGTTTCTCTGTTTCTGTTTCTCTGTTTGTGTTTCAGTTCTTGGCAACCTGCTGAACTCGTCCTAAGGGTCATGTGACTGCCTGGACCAATCACAGTGGAGCACCATCTCACTGTGGGGCCCTGAGCTGTGTTACTGTGAGGCCCCCCGGGGCGGCGCGTGTGAGCGAGTGAATGTATAGGAATATGAAATATGTGAACTGTAAGGGTTTATGTGAACTGTAAGGGTTTAGGATCGCACCAAACTTTAAAATCTTTGTTTTTAAACCAAATCAAAAACTGAGATCAGATCTCAGGACCATGAAATGGCCTCAGTATCCTCCAGACTACCTGTGTTTCCAAACGGCCTTTACTCTGTTTCCCGTGTGAATATAATCCGATCGATCGTGTTCTTCTAACCTGAATCTGTTGTAGAAAAGTGTTGAGTTTGTCTGGGGCACGTGTAAAGAGGAGGGTCATACCAACGGTCAGATCAAAATGATATAATCCTCACTAGTGATGGGCGAATGGAGCATCATGAAGCATCGACACATCAGTCGCAATTAGGGACGGGCATTCGATGAATTCAATTATCGATTAATCATTAAGGTTTTTATATTAAAATGATCATCATTATTATTACTATCTGCACTAATCTGCATAAATAAATTCAACTTTACGACATATAAACATAACGACTCTAGATCCACATCAGCTGTTTGACATTATAATGTGTTTAATTCAGTTTTGTTCAAATCTCACAGAAACAAAACTTAAAACCACATCACTAATTTACATAAACTAAGTGAAGATAAAACTCCAGCTCTTGTGTCGCTGATGTGGTTCAACTTGTGTTGGATTAAAAGACATGACTCAGGTGAATACAGGTCAGTGTGACCAGATTTGTGTTTGTCAAAACCAGGACAGCGTACGGGGGGAGGGGGGCGGGGCCTCGTCATCCACATTGAGCGACTCTCACCTGGAAAAACTTTTTCCCACTGGACACAGAAACATATGTGCTGCTTTATACACTGTGCACATGGACTCACACTTGTCCCAACGCAACGGAAAGTGTGGAATTTCTTCTACAAATCCTGGTTAAATCCACATTTGTGCTTCGGTTCGTTACAGACTGACCCACTGTTTGTGTCTCGCTCCTTCTGATGCAGAGACACATGTACACACCTGTTTGGTCACGACACACACAAACATACATTCAGTTTGTCCATTAAAATGAACGTAATCGATGAAATTCTTAATGATCAATTATCGATTAATCGACTAATCATGCCCATCCCTAGTCGCAATATTGTCTCAAATGGTTGGAAGTGTCTGAGGTCTTGGACAAACACTGACCTCTAGTGGACAAATTTAACATGATGATTTAAAATAATATGTAAAGAGCAACATAAATAACAGCTGTAAATAAGAAAGTAGGTGTGACCTTGTTTGGTGGAATTAAATCAAAGTGATGCCAAACCATGGATCGATTTTTCCCACCTGTAGACGCCGTCGAAAATGAAACAAAAGTCGCCAAAATTACCACTAACGCACAACACTCCTCACTACCCAACATTTTTAACATGTTTAAACACTGGTGCATCTTTTATACTGTAGCAGTTCAGCGCTCGTCAAACCACGGAAGTGCTGAACACTGAAGCACGGAACATTCGCCGAGCCAATGAAACCGTCTCATTTGCCCATCACTAATATTCACGAAAAATTCACGCAAATGACAATCCTTCACTGAGCACACGGGCCTTTAAAAGTGTCTTGTTTTAGTTTCAAGTGTTGCACAAAAGTGAACGAACATGAAAGTGTAGAAACGTCGCCTCATCTCCTCGTTGTGTGATTTATTTTTATTTTGAATCTTTTTAGTCTTTTGTTTTTAAAGGCGACGTTCTACTTTTACATATCAGCCGACGAGAAGTGACCCGTTTGTCGACCTGTGGCCCTCCTCTAGAATCTGATTTTTTTTTTTTTTTTTTTCTTGTACAAATCTGGACAAATCTCTGACGTCGTATCTCGTGTGTTTTGATGGTGACGGGGCTTTAACTCGGATTCCTTTTGGGCGACCACCACTTCTACTTCTTCTTCTTCTTCTTCTTCAGTTTGTCGTGTTCCGTGCGCAGAGACCGACGCAAAAACGGCGGCGACGCGCAGACGTAGCGGCGTCCGGACGAGGTTGTGTCCATGAATGAGTGTCCTTCCTTGGGGGGGGACATAGAATTGGACGCACGTTTGGAGACGACGCAGCGTTTCGTAGACAGGTGTAGACAGGTGTAGACAGGTGTAGACAGGTGTGGACAGGTGTAGACTCGTAGTGCCTTCAGCGGGACGGCAGAGGCTTGGTTTCTGAACGTGTCTTTTTCGAAAAACTACAAGAGACGTCGTCGTTTTTGACTCCGTATCGACCTCAAACGGTGAAAATTAAAAACTGCAGTCATGTTTCCACTCGGCACTTCAGTTCCGTTCGCCTAAAACACGAACAAATTTATTTATTTACGTAGCTGAGGGCTTGATTCCAGCCAACTCATGTGCAGCTTGGTAAATAAACGCTTTGAAACTCCACGTAGTGCCTTAAACCTTTCTACTTTGTGTCATATTCTCTCAAGTCTCTAAGGTCTTTAAGGTCTAAGGGTCCCCAAAACCTGCCAGGTTCGCTTTGCCGCTTTAACCATCCACCCATTTTCTTCGGCTTTATCCGAGGTGGGGTCGCGGAAGCAGCAGTCTGAGCGAGAAAAAAAAAACAAGGCTTGACCAAAATTTAAGATCTAAACACTTAAATCTATCAGAGAATGACTTAAAAGTTGCGAAATTATGCTGCAAGATCATTTTACTTGGCAAGTTCTTTTAAAATAAATGACTTCTAGAACAAGCAAGTCGATAATAAATCTGAAAACACAATAAATAACCGCTTTAAAGTCTTGGATCCCGAGGCGTTCCCAGGCCAGCCCGGAGACAAAGTCCCTCCAACGTGTCCTGGATCGTCCGACAAAACCTGATATGGAACTTTTAGACGTTTTGAGTTTCTTATCGTCTGATTAGAACTCTCTGCGGTCGCCTTTTGGACGTTTTTAGGCGAGGTTGAACAAATCTTTAGGTCCATTGGCGAGTCTAGGGTTAGGCGTAGAAAGTCGGACGATATTCCACGGAACCTGGCCGTGTCTTCACCTAGTGCCTCCGCTCGATTTCATTTCTCTAGATTAGGAATCAGAAAACACTAGACGATTTGCAAAAAAACCCAGAAGTGCAAGTTCGGACATCAGCCAATCGGCGAAGAGACAGACATTCTTTGTTGGCGACGATTCCCCAGATCCCCAAGGATTTAAAGCCGGAACAAAGAGAATGTTTGGTGAATTTTATCTCGGGGAAAGAAGTTATTGTTCTTCTTCCTACGGGATTTGGAGCTTTACAAACGTCATGACCAAACTGCAGCGATTTGTTCAATTTAAAAAAAAAAAAACACCTACTGTCGAGCGAACGAATCCTAATGCTGCGATAAAACTTGTGCTGTAACAACCCGATATGGAATTTTTTAGACTTTTTTAGTTTCTTGTAGACTGATTAGAACTCTCCGCGGTCGCCTTTTGGACATTTTTAGTCGAGATTGGACGCGCTTTGAAAGAGGAGGACTTTTGGTTGATCCATTGGCGAGTTTAAGAGAGGCCCCTGATTTTTAAAAACTTTTTTAACGTAGAAAGTCGTCCGATATTCCACCCAACCTGGCTCTGACCTCTAGGCAAGGCAAGGGAAGTTTATTTGTAAAGCACAGTTCGTACTCAAAGTCATTCAAAGTGTTTTACAGAATAAGAAACACGTTAAAATCACAAATAATCATCATAAAATTAAAAAGAAAGAGACATTAAAAGAGACAGAAGAGTTTGGAGTGAAAACTTTTCAGAGGTACAATTCTAGAGGTACTTTTCAGCACTACCGTCCGCCGCTCAGGGAGTTCGTCGGACTGTGGGACTGTCGAGCTCCGGTGGAAACATGCCAACTGTAAGCACTGCTGTATCTGTCCCGCCTGAACCCGAACAGAACCGGAGACGACCCGTTTTTCAGACCGAGCCTCTCCCGTGTCCTTCCGCCTAGAACACCGCCCGCCTGTACTTTTTCTAGGAGCTCGTGTAAAGTAGTGCCTGAGACGCGTTAAGCCGACGTACACTGTGCGATGATTTTTGAGCCCGATTTTTCACTCGACTCGCGACTGTTTTCGGGATCATGTTTTGGCTTCATCGTGTGGAGTAAACACAGGGTAACAAGAACCGATGAATACCTCAAGACCAGCTCCCGAACGGCAAACGCAGGTCGCAAGAAAATCAAACCTCATGAGGGTTTCGCTCTGCTGAAGTAGTTCCACAAGCGGCTGCGATTTGGTCGTTCGGTTTGAGTTGGAGCCGAGTGAAACCGTCGAAAATATGGCACAGTGTTTGTCAGGCGTTCGCCGCTCGCTCGTCATTCGCTTCGGTGTTTGTGAGGAGGCCTTAGAAGCAGCTCGCTTTCGGTAGCACAACTAAACTGAATGTGTCTTTGCCTTTTCGCTTCACGTTCGCTTCACGTTCGCTTTGTTTGTTTTTTTTTTAAGCGCCATATTATTATTAGATGCAATACTGGACAGAGACTGTTGCAAACAGCCTAGCCACGCGTTAAAGAAGAGAAACTCTGTGATGTCGATTATTCTACTGTACGGGCTGTAGGGGGCGCCACACTGGCTCAGAGCTCTCCTTATCTGTGATTGAGGGACGTGTAATGTACAACATTTACTGTAGCTCCAGCGTTTCGACTGAGCCAGAGATGCCTTGGAAACCGTTTAAAAAAAAGTAAAAAAAAAAACAAATGTAACAAACCCGGACCAGCGGACGGCCGGCAAAAGTCGAGTTTTAGAATTTCAGGTTTGGCGGTTCAGAGACTCGAATCGCACAAAGTCGCAAAAACGTCCGAGCGATTCTGAGCGATTGAGGTGGAGGGCAGGAGAAAAGTCGTTTAATTATCTTTTTATTTTTTTAATCCAGACGAAGCACAAATTCAGATCTTGAAAAGCACATTAAAAGACATAAATGTCCACATTTATGAATTAAAATCGTTAGAATTTTTAATAAAATGTAACATCCACGTGTGAGATGTTTCATTTTTGTTTTTATTAATTTCCATATTTTGGTTCCTTTTTGATAAATATAGCACAATTATGGCCCTTGTCAGTTATATAAAATACGTTAAAGGTGCACTACGTAACTTTTTGGTGACTTGTTTCCTTGGAGACGTCATTTCTCTGCCTGGAATGTTCCACAGTCTGACGTTAAACAGATCTAATTTACGTTTATTCAATCACAGGTGGTTTTAAAGCTCAAAAATACCTAGAAAAACCCTCTCGCCTCTCCACAGATCTGACCTGTAACTTGGTCTGGTTTGGTTTCCATGGAGATAGAAAGGTTTAAAGCCATACTGTGGAATATTCCAGAGAAAGCAACAACAGAATTTGACGGAACATTCACCAGAAAAGCGACACAAAGCACCTTTTTAATTACGTTTTATAATTTTTTGTTTACTTTTTTTTATTAATTAGAATATTAATAACAATTTTGTGAGGTACAACCCAAAAAAAGTAATTTTTTTTCGTCACGTAAGTTTTTTTTTAAAGAATTTTAATATCGAGTTATAACTTTGAATTTGTCTAAAAGAATCGACTTAAATCGCATCTGATTTTTGATTAAAATACTTGCGTTACTCACATAAAGCTGCATTGTGTAACTTTTCTGGTGCATGGACATCTGATTTTTTTTCCACGCACATTTAATCGCTTTGTCTGAAATGTTCCACAGTACGGCATTAAACATATTTATCTTGCATTTATTCAAATACAGGTGTTTTTATTACTTGAAAAAATCATTTTAAAAAACCCACAACCTCTCCACAGATCTGACCTGTAACTTGGTCCTGTTTGGTCTCCATGGAGATAGAAAGGTTTAAAGCCATACTGTGGGACATTCCAGACAAAGCGAGAACAGAATTTGACGGAACATCCACCAGAAAAGCGACGCAACGCACCTTTTTTATTCGCGGATTTTTCCCCGGTTCACGAAAACAGTGTCCGAAAACGATCCCGATCCTGCCCTCCGCGTTCAGAATTCTCGAACGTGACTCAAAGAGACTTCAGATCCCGGTACTTAAAGGTTGATTGTGTAATTTTAAGCCAAAGTGCACTTGAGGCGTCCGTTCCACACTGACCAGTCCTGCCTTAAAGTGACCCAACGACCCCGACTGCGAAAACACCGCACCAACAAACCGACCGCACCAACAAACCGACCGCACCAACAAACCGACCGACCGACCAACCAACGCCGGCAAGTCACAATATTCTCCTGTTTTTTGAGTCAACTGGACTAATTTACTTACTTAAAGACGCACTATGTAACTTTTTTCCATGGAGACGTCATTGCTCTTCCCGGAATGTTCCACAGTGTGACTTTAAACAGCTCGACTTTACATTTATTAAATTACCGGTGGTTTTAGAGCTAAAAAAAATACCTTGAAAATCGGGACATTGTGACTGTGAGCGGGGTCGCCTCTCCACAGGTCTGACCTGGAGCTTCTTGGTCGTCTGGTTTGGTCTCCATGGAGATAGAAAGTAGTTTAAAGCCAAAACTGTGGAACATTACAGACAAAACAATAACAGCATTTGACGGAAGATCCACCAGAAAAGTGACAGAATGCAACTTTTAATTATTTTTTAAAACTTTTTTTAAAATTAGAATATTAAATAAAAATGTGTAAGCTGCAGCCAAAAAACACTTAAATTTTTTTGTCAAGTAGTTGATTTTTTATTTATTTATTTTTTTTCATTTTAATAATGATTTATTAATTTGGATTTTTCTAAAAGAATCGACTTTAAATGTATCAATTTTTTTTATTTTTTATGATTGATTATTAATTAGAAAATTAATTTTAAAAAATGTGAGCTGCACCCAAAAAATCCTTAAATTTTTTTGTCAAGTAGTTGCATTTTTAAGCTTTTTTTTGTTTTGTTTAATATTGAGTTACACCTTTGGATTTTCTAAAAGAATCGATTTAAAATGCATCAGATTTTTTGTTTAAAATACTTAACTTGTGTAACTTTTCTGGTTTCTTGGTTCTTCCTGGTTTAATTTTATCGCTTTGCCTGAAATGTTCCACAGTACGGCATTAAACACATCTGTCTTGCATTTATTCTTTATAAAAAAAAAAAAAAACTAAAAAAAAACGAGCGGCGTCGCCTCTCCGCAGATCTGTCGTGCCTGACTTGGTTTTTGCTGCGACGTTTAATGCGACACTGTGGAACATTCTGGACAAAGCAACGACATCTCCATGGAAACCAGCACAAAATTTACACAGTGCGGCTTTTAAGTGACAAAACACAAATATTTACCACAAATTTTGATAATTTCACCTTTTCATTTGTGCAAAACGAACAAAATCCGACGGGAAACGACGCCTCAAATCGAGTCCAAACTCTTGTCACGACTCTGCTCTTTGTGAATATTGTGCATTGTGGCAGGTGCGGCAGGTGCGGCGGGTGTGTCAGGTGTGTGTGTTTGCGTCGGTGGAAGTGTGTGTTCAGACGTGGGTGTGTGTTCGTGCACAGGTGGAGGTGGTTTTGCAGGAGAAGCACTTTTGTCCTCGGGTCAGTTGGACTCCTTCAGACTGTGTAAAACTTTATTTAAATATTCTGTTTTTTGTTTTGTTTTTCTGTAGTTTTCTTCCTCATGTCGTCTGGCACTTGTTCTTATGAAACTGTAAATAATGTTTGAGTCAATAAAAGCTTTTGTTTCCTGGGAATCGTCTTGAGTTTCTCGTTTTTTGTTGCGGGGACGAAGTAAAGTATAAATAAGGCGAACAACAATAACTGTCGACTTCACGTTTATTCAGTTACAGGTGGTTTTAAAGCTCAAAAATCCCTCAAAAAACAGACATTCTGACTGACCGAGGTCGCCTCTCCACAGATCTGACCTGGAACTTGGTCTGGTTTGGTCTCCATGGAGATAGAAAGGTTTAAAGACATACTGTGGAACATTCCAGACAAAGCAACAGCATCATTTGACGGAAAAATCCACCAGAAAAGTGACACAATTCGCCATTAATTTTTTTTTTTTTACTTTTTAAAAAATTAATTACAATATTAATACAAAATTTGTGAGCTGCACCCAAACAAACCTTAATTTTTTTTGTTATGTAGTTGCATTTATTTTTTTTTAAGAATTTTAATATTGAGTTATAACTTTGAACTTAAATTGTATCAAAATTTTTAATTTTGATTATTGATTATTAATTAGAATATTAATAAAAAATTTGTGAGCTGCAGCCAAACAAAACAAAATTTTTTTCATCAAGTTTTCATCAAGGTTTTTTTTTTGTTTTTTTTTTTTAAGAATTTTAATATTGACTTATAATTTAGGATTTTTCTAGAAAAATCAACTTAAAATGTATCAGATTTTTTATTTTTTTTAATTACTGATTATTAATTACAATATTAATAAAAAAAAATGTGAGCTGCACCCAACAAAGATAACATTTTTTCGTCAAGTAATTGCATTTTTAATACTGAGTTATAACTTTGGATTTTTCTAAAAGAATCGATTTAAAAATGTATCCGATTTTAGATTATTGATTATTAATTAGAATATTAATTTAAAACATTTTGAGCTGCACCCAAAAAAAAATTTTTTTTTCATCAAGTAGTTACATTTTTATTTCAAACATTTTTCAAATTTTTAAAGAATTTTTAATATCGAGTTATAACTTTGGATTTTTCCAAAAGAATCGATTTAAAATGTATCTGATTTAGAGACATTTGAGAAGAATGAGAAAACATTTTGGTCTGGATTAGTGCTCGTTTACATCTAGGAAATGTAAATGTGACATAAGTGAAACCTCATCTTCAGTTTTGCTGTGGGTTTGATCAGAACCTCCAAACCTCCAAACCTCCAAATCCAAATCCAAACTCAAACTCCAAAAAATCCAAACCTCCAAATCCAAACTCCAAACCTCCAAACCTCCAAACCTCCAAACCTCCAAACCTCCAAACCTCCAAATCTCCAAACCTCCAAACCTCCAAATCTCCAAACCTCCAAACCTCCAAACCTCCAAATCTCCAAACCTCCAAACCTCCAAACCTCCAAACCTCCAAACCTCCAAATCTCCAAACCTCCAAACCTCCAAACCTCCAAACCTCCAAACCTCCAAACCTCCAAACCTCCAAACCTCCAAACCTCCAAACCTCCAAACCTCCAAACCTCCAAACCTCCAAATCTCCAAACCAAACCTCCAAATCCAAACCTCCAAACCTCCAAATCTCCAAACCTCAAACAAACTCCAAACCTCCAAACCTCCAAACCTCCAAACCTCCAAACCTCCAAACCAAACCTCCAAACCTCCAAACCTCCAAACCTCCAAACCTCCAAACCTCAAACCTCAAACCTCCAAACCTCCAAACCTCCAAACCTCCAAAACCTCCAAACCTCCAAACCTCCAAACCTCCAAATCTCCAAACCTCCAAACCTCCAAACCTCCAAAAACTCTCCAAACCTCCAAACCTCCAAACCTCCAAACCTTCCAAACCTCCAAACCTCCAAACCTCCCAAACCTCCAAACCTCCAAATCTCCAAACCTCCAAACCTCCAAACCTCCAAACCTCCAAACCTCCAAACCTCCAAACCTCCAAACCTCCAAACCTCCAAACTCCAAACCTCCAAACAAACCTCCAAACCTCCAAATCCTCCAAACCTCCAATCCAAACCTCCAAACCTCCAAACCTCCAAACCTCCAAATCCAAACTCTCCAAACCTCCAAAAAACCTCCAAACCTCCAAACCTCCAAAAAACCTCCAAACCTCCAAACCTCCAAACCTCCAAATCTCCAAACCTCCAAACCTCCAAACCTCCAAACCTCCAAACCTCCAAACCTCCAAACCTCCAAACCTCCGTGTCGTTGCTCCTGGGCTTAAACTCTAAACCCATTTCCATAAAAAGTGTCCGGTTGAGTGTCTCAGGTTTGTCCACGGTTCAGACGGACGTCGCTGACGGACGCTGACAGGTGCAGGGCCCTGCCCGTCCTGATGATGTAACAACTACTGAACATGAACATGTGACTAAAGACGACCAATCAGAAGAGACGCGACGCACCAGTGACAGGTGAAGGAGTGACAGGAGAAGAGCAGGAGTGACAGGTGAAGGAGTGACAGGTGCAGGAGTGACAGGAGGAGTGACAGGTGAAGGAGGAGTGACAGGTGAAGGAGTGACAGGTGAAGGAGTAGGAGTGACAGGTGTAGGAGTGACAGGAGAAGGAGCAGGAGTGACAGGTGAAGGAGTGACAGGTGTAGGAGTGACAGGAGGAGTGACAGGTGAAGGAGTGACAGGTGAAGGAGTGACAGGTGTAGGAGTGACAGGAGTGAGGAGGAGTGACAGGTGACAGGTGTGACAGGAGGTGACAGGAGGAGTGACAGGTGAAGGAAGGAGCAGGAGTGACAGGAGGTGTAGGAGTGACAGGTGAAGGAGTGACAGGAGGAGTGACAGGTGAGGAGTGACAGGTGAGGAGTGACAGTGACAGGTGAAGGAGGTGACAGGAGGAGTGACAGGTGTAAGGAGTGACAGGTGACAGTGTAGGAGTGACAGGTGAAGGAGTGACAGGTGAAGGAGTGACAGGTGTGAGGAGGTGACAGGTGACAGGAGGTGACAGGTGAAGTGACAGGAGGAGTGACAGGTGTAGGAGTGACAGGTGAAGGAAGTGACAGGTGAGTGACAGGTGCAGGAGTGACAGGTAGGAGTGACAGGAGTGACAGGTGTAGGAGTGACAGGTGTAGGAGTGACAGGTGAAGGAGCAGGAGTGACAGGTGAAGGAGCAGGAGTGACAGGTGTAGGAGTGACAGGTGAAGGAGTGACAGGTGTAGGAGTGACAGGTGAAGGAGCAGGGGTGACAGGTGTAGGAGTGACAGGTGTAGGAGTGACAGGTGAAGGAGTGACAGGTGTAGGAGTGACAGGTGTAGGAGTGACAGGTGAGGAGTGACAGGTGTAGGAGTGACAGGTGTGTGAGGTGTAGGAGTGACAGGTGAAGGAGCAGGAGTGACAGGTGTAGGAGTGACAGGTGAAGGAGTGACAGGTGAAGGAGCAGGAGTGACAGGTGTAGGAGTGACAGGTGAAGGAGCAGGAGGAGGAGTGACAGGTGTAGGAGTGACAGGTGTAGGAGTGACAGGTGCAGGAGCAGAATCAGCTCTGATGTTGAGTTTTGATGAGTTTCGTTCACGTGACGTCGTAGATTCCTTCAGTCGGAGTCGGAGCTCGGGGCCGGAAGTTTGTGCTGGAATTTTCTGTTGACGTATAAACCGATAAACCAGGACTAAACCAGGACTAAACCAGGATTAAAACCAGGACTAAACCAGGTCTAAACCAGGATTGAACAGGTCTAAATCCTGCTGTGTGGACGTATTTCTTCGTTTTCTATCAATAATATTTTTAATTTGGTTCATTAAAATCTGGACTTTTTAATTTTCTTTTATCAGACAAAACTTCTTATGTAAAGATTTGCCTTAAAGGTGGAAAAGCGCTATAGAAAAATGTGACCATTTACCATTTACCAAGATTTCCTCGTAAGTAATCAGATTACATTACTCACTTTAAGTAATTGAATGGATTACGTTACAAACTACATTTTGGTGTGTGTAATCTGTAATCTGTAGGGGATTACATTTTAAAAGTAAACTTCCCAACACTGGTAGTAATAAAATAATAATTATTATTAACTCTGAGTTGTTTAATCAGATTTTCTTGCGCCTCTTCGTTCCACATTACGGTACTGGTGCGTGACTTCCGGTGCGTTACGGTAGAGGATAAGGAAGCCCCCGCCCGCACGCACGCACGCATGCACGCACGCGCCTCCTCGTGAATAGTCCCGCATTGATCCGGAGCTGTGCGGAGCGCGCGCCATGCGGTAAGTTTCCTTCAGATGCAAACTAACGAACAAAACCCGACGAACGAACGTGCAGAGTTACGTAACACCGCGCGCCCGCCCCACGTGACCCGCCGCACGAGACACGTCCGAGTTACGAAGGAACGTAAACAAACTTTACTCGTCTAATGTTTACACAGCGACATAATGTTGAGATGCAACACCGACACGGAAACGGAAAATAAAAATATAAAAATAAAGAGTCAAAATGTCACGCTGCAGATCTGAGAGTGTTTAGAGTTTTGCAGATGTTGACAAAAAAAAAATTAAAAAAATTAACATGTGAATGAAACGAACACAACTGGAGCTGTGTGACACGTGACCGACAGAGGGCGCCACACTCCCGAAGCAGAACAAAACAAACAAACCAGATAATGATTCGTTTTTTCAGTTTTTGATTAACAGATAACAGACTAAAACAAGACTAAACCAGGACTAAACCAGGACTAAACCAGGACTAAACCAGGTCTAAACCAGGACTAAAACCAGGACTAAAACTCAAGACTAAACCAGGACTAAACCAGGTCTAAACCAGGTCTAAACTAAACAGGAAACTAAACCAGGACTAAACCAGGACTAAACCAGGTCTAAACCAGGACTAAACCAGGACTAAACCAACCAGGAGACTAAAACCAGGACTAAACCAGGTCTAAACCAGGACTAAACCAGGTCTAAACCAGGTCTAAACCAGGACTAAACCAGGACTAAACCAGGACTAAAACCAGGACTAAACTAAACCAGGACTAAACCAGGACTAAACCAGGACTAAAACCAAGGACTAAAACCAGGACTAAACCAGGACTAAACCAGGACTAAACCAGGTCTAAACCAGGACCAGGACTAAACCAGGACTAAACCAGGACTAAACCAGGTAAAAACCAGGTAAAACTAACTAAACCAGGTCTAAAACCAGGTCTAAACCAGGTCTAAACCAGGTCTAAACCAGGTAAACCAGACTAAACCAGGACTAAACCAGGACTAAACCAGGTCTAAACCAGGACTAAACCAGGAACTAAACCAGGACTAAACCAGGTCTAAACCAGGACTAAAACAGGACTGAAACCAGGACTGAACCAGGTCTAAACCAGGTCTAAACCAGGTCTAAACCAGGTCTAAACCAGGACTAAACCAGGACTAAACCAGGTCTAAACCAGGTCTAAACCAGGACTAAACCAGGACTAAACCAGGACTAAACCAGGACTAAACCAGGTCTAAACCAGGACTAAAACAAGATTAAACAAGACTGAACCAGGACTAAACCAGGACTAAACCAGGTCTAAACCAGGACTAAACCAGGACTAAACCAGGACTAAACCAGGTCTAAAACTAAACCAGACTAAAACCAGGTCTAAACCAGGTCTAAAACCAGGTAAACCAGGTCTAAACCAGGTCAGAACTAAACTAGGACTAAACCAGGACTGAACCAGGTCTAAACCAGGACTAAACCAGGACTAAACCAGGTCTAAACCAGGACTAAACCAGGTCTAAACCAGGACTAAACCAGGAAACTAAACCAGGACTAAACCAGGACTAAACCAGGTCTAAACCAGGACTGAAACAAGACTAAACCAGGACTAAACCAGGACTAAACTAAACCAGGTCTAAACCAGGTCTAAACCAGAACTAAACCAGGACTAAACCGTCTAAAGTTGGATCATTTACACACAGACTCTGCAACATCATTTTGTCTCCAGTTTCAGAAATTTCTGTTCAAAATTTATTAAAACTTGATAAGAAAAATCTACAAATAAATGACGACGATCTGAAACTCCGTTGTCCAAACTTCATTTAAGAGATTTGAAAGTGGAGTTTACGCCTTCACTTTATCTTTATTGTTTTATTATCCGATGGTTTTATAATCTCATCAAAATAATTTTAGTTTCATGATAAATGTTTCTTTCTCTCGGGCTGTAGTTACTCCTGACGTCTCTGAGTTACACAAACACGAGTGAAATATTCCCGTTTTGAGTTTCGTTCCCCCGAGAGCCGAGAGCCTGTCAGACCAAACCCAGGGCAGCACAGTCTGACAACCCAGAATTTTATCACCACTTTAACAACCCGTGTGTGAAAATACCTCGTTTAAATACGACGTTTTACTTCGTTAAACCAAAACTCACACTGTTACGCT